TTGCAGCGTGTCTGTGTTTGCGCCTAGGCGCCCGCGTCTCGCCTTCCCTCTCTCTGCTGCTGACCGGTTGCCTTTCGTTTGCGCGGGGGCCGGGAGGTGCCGCCCTGCACAGAGCTGCCGGACAAACCGCCCGCCCGCGGCACTCGCAGCCTCCCAGGGGCCTTGGGAGCCACGCTCAGCCACCTCCCCGCTCCTCCTTTAACGCCTGTTCTCTTCCCCGCTTTCCGTCGCTTGTTTTTCCTCTCCTCTCGCCGTGCAGAGCCTGGGTCCTGCACCCAGGGGGGGTCAGCCAGGCTCCGCAGGGGAGGGGAACCGGTGTTTTGGCCCTCCAGCTTGCGTTTGATTACTCAGTGATTGATTCTGAATAGCCCCGAAATGAACAGGGGACGCGCGTCACCGCGCGATCCGACTTACAGCCATCCCAGCGGAGGCGAAACTCGAGTTTGACCAGCAGCTCAGGAGTCGGTTGGAGCTCTGCTTCTAGCTCCTGCATGGGCGCCCGTCTGTCCCCCAGCAAGTTGTTCCATCTGCTGTCAGCATCACCACCCGTAACCTGGAAACAACGCGCAGACTGTCCGAAAAGTGCTTTGGGATCCTCGGTGAGAGGACCTATAGAAATAAAGTGCACAATAGCAGCAGCGTCCTTGTCTCCTTACGTTTGTCCCGCAGGAAGCAGAGGGAAAGCGGCGGCGGGGGTCTTGGACGTCAGTTTGAGCCTAGAAAATGGCTTTCTGCGAGGTTACATGGGGCTGAGCTGTTCTGGGGGGGGATTTAAAGGCAAAAAAACCCCAATCGCCCGGTGCTGGACACAGAGGGGCCCTGGCCAGGGAGGAGCCCCCGAGCCCTGCACCAAGCAGGGAGCAGGATTTCCTCCTCCTGCAGCAAGCCAGGGCTGGGGCCGGCTCCTGCATCGCTCACACCATGGTGACCGCAGCAGCTCCTCTGTCCTGACCAGGCGGCCGCACCGACAGGTCCCAGTTTGGTGCTGGGGGCTGGCAGCGTCCCTGCTGCGCCCATTGGGGCTGGGTCAGGTCGCTGATGGGGGCGTCTGGTGGCCGATGGTCGCTGCCACGTGTTGGGGCGCGACAAGCCTGTGAATGAGGCCGCAGGCAGCACCAAACGCCTCCCAGCGCTGCCAGCCACAGGGGCGGACACGGAGCTGGGGCTGGGGAGGCCCCGCTTACTCCCGCCCCC